GACATTTTCCCTTCCGGTTGCAGGTCGGGAGTCTCAGAGCCGGGAAGAGCTGGGGAGACCCTCACCCAAGGAGGAGTACAGCTTTGTTCTATCGCGGGTAGACGGGAGCTTTTGGAGGCAGTGCTGGAAACCCTAAAGCAGCCACGTGAAGATCTGCAAGGTTACTCTGTGCAAATAAGCAAGGACTGTAAAGTTCAAGTAGCTGCTTTGCCACAGCCTAAAGAGTGGCTGAAAGCTTTACCCTGCATCTGGTGGTAGAAGACAAGACGGCTACTTGCGGAGACCGAGGGCAGAGGCAGCACTGCACTCCATGGATGTTTGGGGTTTAGCAGACCCCACAGTTGCCTCGGCCCCAGCCGCCGTACCCATAACAGCCATAACCCCCGTGGCCTCCGTAGCCACCCCAGCCCCCACGGCCTCCATAGCCACCCCAGCCCCCATAGCCTCCATAGCCTCCAGAGCCACCACGGCCTCCAAAACTGCCGCCAAAGCCCGACCCAATGACGGGGGCTCCTGCCGAGCCAACGGTGCTGTGCTGCGGGAAGGAGCTGAGGATGGGCCCGGGGAAGGTGACCACCGAGGCCGGGGGCTGGATCACCACCGTGGAGTCAGGGCACTGCCGCACGCAGGGCTCGTTGCAGGTGTCAGCCAGAGGGGCCGGAGCGGCCACCCCACAGGACGTGTTGCACAGGCTGGTGCACGACATCTTTCAGGCAGGCAAGGAGTCCTGGAAAAGGCACCAGGGATTAGGCCAGGGTGTGTGTGGGGAAGGGGCTGTATCGAGGGGGTCAGGGAGAGATCCCCAAGAAGCTTCTGAGAGCTGGACTTACCCAGTTGATCAGGAGAGTCAAGCAGGGGAAGATGGATAGAGAGCTGCAGAGCCCTCAGCTCTTTTATACCTGTCCCACAGTGCCTGGGGCATCGGCCAACGGGAGAGGTGCAGAAACCCCAGGAAATCATGAAATCAAGCTGACAAACTTCATGACACAGGTTGTGATGTGAGACAATTGCAAACCTAATCATTGGGTACATTGGCGTGCAAAAGCGCCGTGGAGGGGATAGGGGTGAGGGGAGGTATGGACCGTGACACGCCATTACATGAAAGGCCAGGCGCTGCTGTAGCTGACCGCACGTCCCTAATAAACCCCAAACTCTCCCTAATCCCCCCTCCCTTGCTTACATGCCAGAGACCAAGGCATCCTGCAGAAGTGCTTTGCAATTCTGGGTGCAGCCATAACGCCTGTCATTATGTCTCTTTTACAGGCTGGTAAACAGAGGCCTTGGGAGGCTGGCAAAGGCAGAAGCCATCCCAGCTGCTCGGGGTGGCCCCTGAGTGCTCACCGTCTCCCAGTGCTGGCCCCTCACAGGGGCTATGGGCATCCCTTAGCCTTGGCCACTTCCTGCCTCGTGCTGGGTATTTTGGGGCTCGTAGGTACCCCTGATGAAAATCCAAACAGGAGGCTGCCTGACATGCCCGTGCCCATGCCCACAGAGAATGTGGGCACACGCAGCCTTGCCTTGCTGCAGCCACTCGGGCAGCCAGTTCTCGCTGCCCCAGGCCTTGGGCACAGTCCTCACTGCACAGCTGAGTAATCGGGTCCCTGCAGAGAGGCCTTGGGGAAGGCCACGCTATGCCGTGCCTCGCACCACTTCACTGAGGGCAGGGGCTGCTTCATGGCACCCAGTGTGTGCTGGCACTGCTAATCCCAAGCTGTGAGGCACGTGCTGGTGGTGCAGAGGACTCCAGGCTTCGCCATGCAGCCTCAGGTCAGTTTTATCTGCAAAGGCTCCTGCAGCAGGGCTGTGGAGAGGCATAAAAGCTGTTGCAGCCCCAGGCTTCCCTCAGGTCATGTCCTAAATGCCTTGACTCACCAACCTCAGTTATCTCCCAGCCCTGTTCCTGGCACCTTCCCACAGAGCACGTAGCCGTGGTAGGATCCGGCCCAGGTGCTGTTGGTGCTACTGACTTGGGGATGAGAAAGTTCCCTGATGCAATCTGGCTGAGGAATGGCATTACTTGCAGGTCAGGTGGAAAAGGGAACACTGAGGAGCTCCTTGTTGGGCATGGGGCCAGCACTGGGAGACGGTGAGCACTCAGGGGCCACCCCAAGCAGCTGGGATGGCTTCTGCCTTTGCCAGCCTCCCAAGGCCTCTGTTTACCAGCCTGTAAAAGGGACGTAATGACAGGCGTGATGGCTGCACCCAGGATTGCAAAGCACTTCTGCAGGATGCCTGGGTCTCTGGCACGTAAGCAAGGGAGGGGGGATTAGGGAGAGTTTGGGGTTTAGTAGGGACGCGCAGTCAGCTACAACAGCGCCTGGCCTTTCATGTAATGGCGTGTCACGGTCCATCCCTCCCCTCACCCCTATCCTCTCCACGGCGCTTTTGCACGCCAATGTACCCAATGAGTAGGTTTGCAATTGTCTCACATCACAACCTGTGTCATGAAGTTTGTCGGCTTGATTTCATGATTTCCTGGGGTTTCTGCACCTCCCCCTTGGCCGATGCCCCAGGCACTGTGGGACAGGTATAAAAGAGCTGAGGGCTCTGCAGCTCTCTATCCATCTTCCCCTGCTTGACTCTCCTGATCAACCGGGTAAGTGCAGCTCTCGGAAGCCTCTTGGGGATCTCTCCCTGACCCCCTCGATACAGCCCCTTCCCCACACACACCCTGGCCTAATCCCTGGTGCCTTTTCCAGGACTCCTTGCCTGCCTGAAAGATGTCGTGCTCCAGCCTGTGCAACACGTCCTGTGGGGTGGCCGCTCCGGCCCCTCTGGCTGACACCTGCAACGAGCCCTGCGTGCGGCAGTGCCCCGACTCCACGGTGGTGATCCAGCCCCCGGCCTCGGTGGTCACCTTCCCCGGGCCCATCCTCAGCTCCTTCCCGCAGCACAGCACCGTTGGCTCAGCAGGAGCCCCCATCATTGGGTCGGGCTTTGGCGGCAGTTTTGGAGGCCGTGGTGGCTCTGGAGGCTATGGAGGCTATGGGGGCTGGGGTGGCTATGGAGGCCGTGGGGGCTGGGGTGGCTACGGAGGCCACGGGGGTTATGGCTGTTATGGGTACGGCGGCTGGGGCCGAGGCAACTGTGGGGTCTGCTAAACCCCAAACATCCATGGAGTGCAGTGCTGCCTCTGCCCTCGGTCTCCGCAAGTAGCCGTCTTGTCTTCTACCACCAGATGCAGGGCAAAGCTTTCAGCCACTCTTTAGGCTGTGGCAAAGCAGCTACTTGAACTTTACAGTCCTTGCTTATTTGCACAGAGTAACCTTGCAGATCTTCACGTGGCTGCTTTAGGGTTTCCAGCACTGCCTCCAAAAGCTCCTGTCTACCCGCGATAGAACAAAGCTGTACTCCCCCTTGCGTGAGGGTCTCCCCAGCTCTGCCCGGCTCTGAGACTCCCGACCTGCAACCGGAAGGGAAAATGTCTAGAGTGGAGCCCTGGGTTGTGCCTTGCTGCAGCCTTACAATTTTGTGTTTCCAAACTATTGTTTCTGTGTTGTTTTGTTTCCCACTGTTGCTGCCTGTTGCATTTTCCATCCACATTAAAGAATCCGCATTGCACAGAAAACTTGGTTTTGGGTTGGTTTGTTTGAGTTTGCTCTTCTGATTTTCCGTGTTGGCCAGGTATATGTTGATAATGAAGTTTAAGCTTCACCATTAAATATCAGATGGCATGTGGGATAGTGCACAGGGTTTGTGAGAGGAACAGCTTTTGAAGGAAGAAAAAACCAAACCAAAACAAAAAAAGCACAGTTAATTTATTTGTTACTTTTTTATCCTTTTCTCATGTGGAAATATACAGTGTCTTCACACTTTTCCGTGCTATATAGCCTGAGAAGTTCAAAGCACTTCTTAGACACTCTTAACTATTTTGTACATTGATAGTGTGTTATTACTCTATTAAAAGTTCAGTGCTCTCGTCAGATGCTTTCTTATTGAATAATAGCCACTTCAAAAGTACATGTTGAGACTTTTTTATGTATGCTTTAGTCAGAATATGATTTTATAGCCTTCAAATTTTTCATTCAAATGTGGCTCTGTACAAACAACCACTGCCTGTAGTCAGTGAGTGCTTTCCTAGGAGCCAATCTCTGCAGAAGTCATGAGAAATCTCCATCCCGAAAGCTCCTGGCAGTGTAACCCACAGATTTACTTGTAAAGGTTTTCAAATAATATTGTACTCATATTTTGTATTGTAGCACAATTGAGCTCTGTTCCTCCAGTAAGACTGCCCTCAGAGTTCCTCTGTGTTTGTTCAAAGGACAGCAATTACATTCACAGTAAGGCTTCTAGAGTTTAATAGGACTTTCAAAGCACTTCACCAGCTGTTTTATGCCTAGAGTGTGTTACAGCATGGTACTATTAAGAGGTTACTACTGCTGCCAGTTAAGTACTTCAGTTGTGAATAATAGTCACCTCAGACTTACGTCAAGGGATCTCACTCTAATAACAACTGTGTGATTGTGCAGCCTGGGAACTTCACGTCATTTCATTGCTGTTCAGATGGAGCTTTTCTGTAACACTTGCAAACACTTGTCCTCTACCAGCACTTAATAAGATGTGCAATTTTCTGCTTTGTAACAGCTCAGGTCTCTAAATCCAGAAAGCATCCCAAACACTGCCAGCACAAAAGAGCTTGAGAAAGAGGGATTTTCTCCTAAATTCTTGGCTTATTCCCCAGTCGAATTGGGTTTGCCTGTAGGCAGTCTGTGCATTTACAAATCACTAAGATGTGGTGCTGTTATGTCCAATGTCTGCACATGCACTGTGATGCTAAGGCATATTTAAAATCTTATTTCCAAATTTTTAGTAGGAAATTCCAGAATGAGTGACTTCATTTTCTGAGCTACTACTGGGTAATCAGTTTGCAAAATCTGTGCTCAGGTTCCGCTGACATTCATAAAAGCTACAGGGTGTGGTACGTCTCCATAAAACATACCAAGTAGGGAACAAAAATCTGAGTACATCCAAGTCAAGAAAAGTAAAACAAGGACATGTAATGATGCTATAACATTTTTAATAAGAATAAAGCTCACAATCACAATCTAAAATAATACAGGAAGCAGAAGCAGAAAGAATGTGTACAGAGATTAATTTATATCTTCAGAAAATCACCCAGTTTCATTAGTACCATTTTTGCTGCTACATCTGTAACATTTGACTATCAATTTCCATTTTTAAATGTTTCCACTTGTTTTAAGTCCAATGAAACAAATAAGATCAGATGATTTACTGTTTCTTTGGTATAGGTTCAAAAGCAGTTAAGTTATAAACGTATCCATATGAAGGCTAGTACAGGTACACTTTAGATTTCATTAATGTTAGCTGGGAAAGAACTATAAATGAGTTAAGAAGTTGTTTACCCATGTTAAGCCTGGCTTCCTTTACACCACCAAACCCATTCAAGGTTAAGAAGTTGATAGGGAAAATGGAAAACAAAACATTTTTGAAGAACATTGAAGAAGATTTATGGAAACACTGAGCTCTCCAAAATACTACGGCTTTCATTCGCAGTCGTGGACTCAGAGCTTCTGCAAAGCCTCTCCTTAACAGCAGCCATTAATTCAGTAATTAATTCTCAGTCCTCATTTCCCATTTAATCCTTCTGGATTTAGCAGGGGTAGCAGGGGTAGCAGCTCCCATAGCTGTATCTACGGGTGTAGCAAGAATAGGAGGGGTAACAGTAGCGGGAGCTGTAGGAGGGGTAGCAATCCCGATAGCCGCACAGGCCCCCGTAGCCCCGGTAGCCACAAGGGCTTCCACAGTCGTAGCTCCGGTAGCTGTACACGGTCCCGTAGTTGCAGGGAGAGTAGCAGCTATCCTCACACTGGTTCTGGTAGCAATAAGTCATCTTGGTGCGATGGAGGGAGGCAAGGCTGAAACACAGCAGAGGAGAAGAAAAAGCCTGTAAGGCAATGCTCCCAACAGCAAGTAAATCTCACATAAATGCCACAAGCATGCAAGGAGGGAAGAGAGAGCCAGCAAACCCAGGCACACTGCACGACACCCTCTGTGCTCATCTATTTTTTCTATCCACATTTTTAGTGCCAAGTCTTCCACCTAAGTCCCTGTCCAGACCAGCCTTTCTGAGCTTTCCTGCACAGCCCCACTGGCTGCATCCATGGATCGTGATGGGAGATGGAACTATGAACCGTGATGCCTGTGTCAAAAGAGAGCCATCAGGGAAGAAGCTGGTAAATCCTTTACAGCCATACTGAAATAAAGGCTTCAAGGGAAAATAAGGATATACACAGGACTGACACAGTTTCAAACACTCAAATATTAATGAAAGTCCAGGCAGGAAATAATAACTCAATTATAAATAATTCTTATCAAGTCACAACCTTAATACCCAATGCATTAATCTATAGCACTTGTAGATTAGTAACTGGAAGGGCAGTGGGAAGAGGGGGAAAGTAGTAGCAAATACATCTCTTCATTATTCACTAGGTTTTCTAAATCTATTCCAACTTACCCACTTCTTCAAGGAGGATAAAGCAGGAGAAGCGAATGCATTATTCTCAGCGGTGCGGGTTTTTATAGAGCGCCCAGTCCCGCCCAGCATGTGAAAGGCATGCCTGCACCCCGAGCTGGCTCCAATTACCAAACACATTTTGCTTCCCTCATGACTCCTTCTCATTGATATACCGGTTCTCCCCAGGGTTTCTGATTATTGGTCCAGCACTGTGACACGCAGGCTACACCCTCCAGGTTTCTTTCATCTCAGAACTCTATAGGGCAATTAAACCTTGGTATCATCATGCAGTACAGCAACAAGTCAACAGAATATGCAAAGACATACAAAATACCAAACGTTATTTTTGGAAGACCAGCCTCGCCATGCATGTTGGCCCATGTACTTTGTTGTACGCTTGTTTGGTTGGTTTTTTTTTTTCAAAATACCTGTTGAAGAAATAGCCTCTACTTTTCACATATTTCACAACTTTAATGACACATGAAACAGCACATTTTTACCAATCCCTTCCAACATTTCCTGTGGCTAGCAAAGGGGAAAGACCATTTGTTTGATTTGATGCCATCATGCAATAGGATATTGCTATGCTGATTGATTCAGCTAGAAAATTGGCCTATAAGCTTTAAAATGGTATGTATATGATGTATTCTTAGAGAAAAAACTTTCAGAGACCCAATTCTGAAGCTATAAATTACAACCTTAATAAAGCATATAAACAGGATAACCTGATACACTTTTTTAGAAACAGTGTTACATAACACTGGGGTGTTTTTCAGTAACATAGTATTAATATTTAAATAATAAATCTCTTTGTACATGTAAATCTTTAATAAGTATTAATGAAGGCTTTAATATTCAAAATTTTGAGAAAGGCCTGGAACATTTGACATGCCTGTTATTATCCTTCCTTTAGATGCAAGTAAACAGCAGTGTTTTGAGGTGAAGGTCACCAGGGAAGACAGTGATGTTGCTGCTTACCAGGTCACATTCACAGGGCTCAGCATTATTCACCGTCATTAACAGCATTAAGTTAAACACCTCAACAAAATTAAGATGTCACATTAAACCATATTTAGCATTTAGGGGACTTCTCAGGAAAACTACAGTTATTACAGAGATATGTTCCTGTTTCTTTTATCTTGTTCTTTGTCATGAACCCATGAGTGAATCATTTTCTGATCTAAGTGTAAACAATCAGTAAGCAGATATTTTTGGATCCAATTGAATTTGCCTCGCTTGGGCTGGTTCTCCAGAAGACTGAGTTTGTAAATTTATTTCATATATCGTGCAAAGCCTGGAAATTTCAAATATTATTTCTGCTTCAAAACCTTTGATTTATTATTGGTTTCTACCTTCTTTACAGTTCTCGAAGTCTTGCCAACAATTCCTTACCTTATTCAAAAATATTTTCACTTACACCAAAAAGGTCCCCAGTTTGTTTCTGTGTAGACTTAGGAGGTGAGTGTTGAAGTTTGCTAAAAATAATTGGTAGAGCACAGCAAGCAAGTAAATCCGATTTTCTACAGAATGCTTTCCTGTGTCAGGTCACAGTTTACAATTAACATGTCCATCCATATTTGATTACAGCAAGATATAGACCAGACTTTCCATCTAATCCAACCACCTTTCTTGTACTTCTGTTTTTGAGCTGGAAATAATACAGACAAAATGATAAATACTAATAATGCCAGTATTCTGACCTAAAAATGCAATTTTGAAATAAAAACAAGAAATGCTTCCTAGGGATTATTATTTCTGAAAAAAGAAAAATTGGAATTTTTTCATCCTCAAACCAATCCAGAATCATGTCAGGCTTCATATACTGACATTTGTCCATTCCTCCAAAACTGGGTTTGTGAACATCAATCAATTCTGCTCTCAATATCCTTCCTTCTCTTTCCTGTTATAACTCAGATTTCACCACACTAATTCTACAAATATAATTGACCCAGGAAGTCTGAACATGAAAGAAAACTGCAGTGCAATGTCATGCTTTTGGAAGCCAAGAACTGACTAATAATCACAAACCAAGGAAAACAATTACATCAACTGAAGGAATGACGGACATAAGTAAATTTGTATTGTGATGAATAGGAGTTTAAAGCACAGTAGGCTTGGTCAGAAAAATATATAAAAGGGAGAGAAATTCAAGGCTCTCTACTTGCATCTCCGGACTTAACATTCTCACTGAACTTGGTAAGTCAGACTTACTACAATGTCTTTATTGCTATGTAGATACTGTGGTTTTGCTATATTGATATACAGATGGCAGTTATACTTGAAAAGCAGAGGCTGGGATTTCGCAGGCATGCAAGAACAATTATTTTATGTTAAAAATGGGATATTAAGATGGTCACATAATCTCAGAAGATTGTCTTACCTAGCCATGCACTATGAGAAATTACTTTATTTTATGATATACTGAAACCTTTCAGGCTTCTTTATTTTGAAGCAGACAATGCATTACATCTTTTCAATTATTTTGAATGAAAATCAAGTATCTATTCAACTGGCAGTTAAGGCACAGGCATGAATCCAAACAAGCAAGCTGTTTTTTCAGTAGCACACTGCTGATTTGCACAAGGGGAAGATTTCTTCTGTGGTTGACAGCAAAAACTGGCAGAATTCGTTCCTGAACTAGTGTCTGTTCATTTACGGTTTTTAGAGAAACATTGGACACTGATGCAGACAACCTAATCCTAACAATATCCTCTCTAAAATACTATCTGAATCTAGATTGGCAATTTTAAGCAATGGCGACAAGACAAGAAGCATAAAATATTTTTTATGAAAAAAAGAAGAGGGAAAAACAGAAAGGAGTGAGCTGGGCAAGGAGTCAGAATGTAGCCTTGAATGGAGATGTTCAGTTGGTTCCCATGTTCGCCCTTCTCTCCTCTCCCTCTTTCCCATGCTTACACAGGGTTTGCTAGAAGCAGCAAGCTGCTGCTTGGTCTCTGGGGCAGACCTTATCTTCTCCTCTGCTGTGTTTCAGCCTTGCCTCCCTCCATCGCACCAAGATGACTTACTGCTACCAGAACCAGTGTGAGGATAGCTGCTACTCTCCCTGCAACTACAGGACCGTGTACAGCTACCGGAGCTACGACTGTGGAAGCCCTTGTGGCTACCGGGGCTACGGGGGTCTGTGCGGCTATCGGGATTGCTACCCCTCCTACAGCTCCCGCTACTGCTACCCCTCCTCTTCTTGCTACACCCGTAGATACAGCTATGGGAGCTGCTACCCCTGCTACCCCTGCTAAATCCAGCCACAGGACAACCAGATAGGAAAACAAACGGCAAAATAGTGATTTATGGCTCCTGTATGAATTTTACCTTTGCTAAGATCCCATGACAGCAACTGCGGTCAGGAATGGTCCTGCGTGCTTAGCATCTTCTTCAATGTCTGCAGCTATTTTGAATAACCTGCTTTTAGGGCCAACTCTTCCTTCATAGCCTTTGTTGGTAGATGTACTGTGTATTTTAATGTGTAGATTCGCAACTGGAGATGCAGACCAGAGCAGACACCTCATCTTGTCATATGCTGTGCTGACAGCTCTGCTCTTCACCAAACACCACCGTGGTCCCAACAGCATCTGTTGTGAAATGTAGTAACTCTTTGTTTAAAGAATGTATGAATCTCTGGATGTTCTTATTCTGTACTACTACAAGCTGTAACTGCTCTATACAGTGCTTCTTACTCTCATTAAAAGATCTTGCATCACAATAATGCTTTCTGTTCTATTTTGATGTGGTTTTTTTCTTTTATATTTGACTTTACTAATTATTTACCTGACACATGGCAAAAAAGGAGGCACTAGGTTTTAAGCTCTGCATTTTTAAGCATCCTGTAGAATCTGAGGTGACTGAGGACATATTGAAAACCTCAGTTTCTGTCTCCTCCAAGACAGTCCTGAAAACTCACATCTGCCGTGTCTCCACTCTCTCCTTCTTCCACCAAACATGCCATAACACTGCTCTCTTCCCAAATACTAGCTTAGAAATGTGAATATTTAAGAAAATTAAATCAGTACTTGCTGACTACATTCCAGCTCAAGTTATGCTATTTTTGAGGATCTAAAGTGCACTGAGACACAAAATGCCATACTCCCTAAGCTTTCTGCAGCTCTGAAATAGCTAACTGGTATGAGAACACACGGGAGCTCACATTCACCTCTTCCCAATGCATATAAAGGTTTAAGTATGGCCATTACCAAAGATTACTTTGTGTGGTTCATGTGTGAGCTGTGAGTTTAGTCCTTTCCATCGCTGCCCTGGCCAGGCCGGCTTTCAGGCACAACATCCTGCAAGCGTCTGCCACCTTTGCCATCAGCAACAACTCTTTTACAAAGGAAGACAAGAAACATGCAGATTCCAGATAAGGTAAGGCTTTGAGGGGAAGCGTCTTCTTCCCCATAATTAACAAGAGAGCACGTGACAGGGAGGGAGAAGAGTTGCTTAAAGTAAAAGTGACTGTCAGCTTGATGACAAAGGGATGAACCTACTGGGATGGTTCTCAGGCTGGAGCCATCTGGACCCACAAGAAGACTGAGTTTTGGAAGTGATTTCCAACAGGAAATATTTGTCCTCCCAGTCTGCAGGAGCTTCAGCTCTCCAGCAAACACCGATCTGCATGTAGGAGGCAGAATTATGGACTTTGGCACTGACATTTCCCTGGTGGGTAGACCATCAGGGAAGGGATTGCTGTAGGGTTTCTTGCCTCATCCCATAAGTGCCAGGTGAGACCAATTCCTGGCAGAAGTGAGGTTCATGTGAATTTGCATCCATGTAAAAACAGAGCATAGAAATGAAGTAGAACCTAGACACTTATTCAACGGGTTATTCAAGAGGTTGGCAGACAAGACTGCAAAAGAGAAATCTGAAGAAAACAAGACCGTGAGTCCCTGGGTCAGCTGACAGAAACATCCATCAGACTGCGCTTTGAAAATTCACCATTCTGGTCTACAGTAACACACTGCGTACTTTAGGAAAATTATTTCAGACAAATTACTTGCTAACAAAGGCTTTTCATGTTCACTGTGCTGAATTGTTATATTAATATCCTTTTACTGAAAATTTTCTCATCTGAAATAACAATCTAAAAATGCAAATCAATGTTTCCATCAACTGGTCATGAAGTGTAAATTCAGACTCTGAAGGTATTAATTTTCTATTTAAAAGTAGCTCTGTGTTATGCATAAATTTGTTTTAAAAGTTTAGAAGAAGTTGATCAGTTGATGCAGTATATCATAGACTTTCCTATTTCAGAGTAACACAAAGAAATTGGAAATTATTTGTCTTTCACTTAGTACAGTCTATTTTTCCAGTTGTTCAAAATGTTCAGATTTAAATTTTGTATATCATGCAAAAAAAAAACAATTAAAATATTTAGACTTATATGAAATACCCTCCATTATTTCAAAAAAATTAAATTACTAGAATTTTTTCAAGAAATATTGTCATAGCATGTTGTCAGAAGAAACAGGAAAAGGGGATCACAACTCAAGAAATGATGGGGTTTTTTAGTACACACACAAATATATCCTATTTGTATGTATTTATAGCTATATGTATTATTTCTATATAATCTTGTTACTGATGTGATAAGAGATGAAATCACTATGCACTCGATAAAAGTTAAAGAGAAAATAGAAACAACCATCTTACGAGAAAATATCAACATTTTTCATTAATGTTTTTTGAAGCTTTTTAATATGCACTTTTAAAATATTTATGTTAGTTCTAATATAAACTCTACCACAGTACAGCTGGAAATATATGTCAAATAAAGGAGTAACATAGCAAAAATCATTTGACAAATGAAGATGACAAAAAGTAATTGAAATTTTATAGGGATCAACACGCTAAAACCTGCAATGTTCTCATGAGTCAGAGCTCTTAACTAAATGTCTTAATATATTTTCCTCTGTGGATTTGACTCCATCTTTCTATAACTAACAAGATTTTTATAAATTATATTCCCAGTTACTTACTGAATGCTGCCATGTGTCTTGAAGTCTATTTAGGGCCCTTCCTTGTATCACTTTGGTTCATAGGTACAGAAGTCCAGGCATCAGTGAATTCACACTTCCAAGAGCAATTTCTGATTTTCAATGTTTGGAACATCAAAATATTATATTAAATTTGAGAGTTAGCTAACTTTGAAAAATCTCATACACATGTTTAACTTTCCAGGACAATTAATGGCCATTTCAGTGCTCCTCAGCTGTTTGCTAGAGACATGGCCTCAGTCACCATGAAACTTGGCCAAGCAACTGCTTGGTCACTCAGAAATTACAATCTTCTGACCTGTGCAAACAGCAACAAAACTAAATTTTTCTGCCCGCGTCACAACTTCAATTAATATAATTGGTTTCTTCAACATCAAGGATCATTAGTCTCTTCTCATCTCCGCATGACAAACCTAACGTTATGGGCCTATTTTGACTTAAAACTCTTTGGGTCATCCTCAATTTTAATTATCAAATTGAGATATAAGAATAGAAAAGAGAAGGACAGATACTCAGACTAGAGATAATTGAGAATCAAAATTCCTATATTTGGGTTATTTTTAACATATTAAACTTGTATGTAGCTTGAATTATGTCAACATTTGCTACAGGAAAAAAAATGTTTTGTACACTTGCATATACCTAATATACATTTAAAAATAAAACCTAGTGTACCCTCTCTTCCTCACAGAATAAAAATTCCTGCTGCTAGAGTAGCAGAGGCAGCAAAAATAATTTATGCCACTTTTCTTTGCCTCCTACTTATGCCTGTAAAACAGAGTGTTGTATTTAAGAAAAATAATAGATATTTTCTCCTCTTCTTCTAAAATACTTTTATTTTATACCTTTAATATTTCCTCTCAGCTGACTAATGAAAACCAGGAAATTCATAGAAGTTCAGCATTTATTTGGGTAACTATTACATGTATATACATATACAAAAAGGAGAGAGGAAAAATTAATCGCATAGTCTATACCTCATCATTGCACCAGCTCATGCCATAAAAAAAAATCTTTCAGAATATCACCAAAGCAAATGTAGATTAAGTTCTCTAACACTGATGTTAGCAGAATATTCAGAAGCAAAAATTATAAATATCACTTTACAGCAAATATTATTGATGCTGGTTTTCAACCTTGTCTAACACTTACTTCTCAAAGGAAGCAGAGCACATCACATAAAGTTAAGAGCCTTACTTTTTTTTTTCTCAACAAATACTTACTTATATGACCTTCACTGCAGTGAGCCATTCCTCATTTGCATATTAAATGAAGATAATAACAGACATTCTAGAAATGCTGAGCCTCATCAGAATTTATGGTATCAATGCTTTTCCAAAACAGTCATTAAAGACTTACTTTAGCAATGTCTGTATTATTTAAATATTAATGGTTTGTTACCGAAAGATGCCTCAATGTTGTATAATAAACAGCAGAACGGGGAAGGGAACCCCTGGGCTAAGCAATGTTTCTCTTTATTAAAACTAAAGCATTACAGTCGTCATCCTCACATGGTGTAGACTGGCAGAGATGCAGCTGTATCTCACTGGATAGTGCCACCATGAAAAATCACAGAAGTGATTTCTCCTTTCCCAGCTTAGATTAATCCCTTCTGCAGTGGGAAACTTACAGGACTCCATTAGTCCTTTTAGTCTACTAAAGCCCATTGCAAAGCAGAGGACTTCGTAGGACACCTCACTGCAAGCAGACTCACTGCCTACCCTCCCCAGGAACTGCTTCCCACCAGTCAGGAACGCGTGGTCTCCATCCTTCTGGCTTCCACAGCCTTCCTAAAAGACTGCTCTCCCCCTTTTCTCTACTCCAGTCCCTGTGCTAGACCAACAGGAAACCCAATTTGTTCTGCACTACCAGATCCTGCAGCAATACTTGCCCCAGTACTATATATGCATATATGTATCTCATATGTATATATATATATATATCTCATATGCGTGTGTAATATCTTGAAACATTGATTCAAGCGATATTTTCTAATAATTTCATCCAGAAAAGAGAGAGAAAAAATTTAAAAAGACCGTCTTGGACACATTGCTCAGATACGCATTTAATTGATCCCGTGCCTTGGCCTGGACTTCACGCAGTGTATGCCAAATTACAGACAGTAGAAGAACCTAAAGGAATCAATGGAACGCCTGTTATTAATTGTGACGGAAATGAATCAAAATGGTTGGTAAAAGCCCTAAGGACACAGTATAATTCCTCTTTCCTTCTCAGGTACTTCACGTCACCCCACAATGTGCAGTATCCAACTCCCTTGTAGGGGTATAACATAAAGAAACAGTCTATGGACTCCGCAGCTAGGCAGGCAGTGTAGCTGGAACTGCTCTGTATATCCTCCAGTTTCATACCCAGTTGTCCTTTGGGTGAATTCCTAGAAACCTATTTGTATTGGAAAGTTTTGAGGTGAAAGAATCTCAACAGGGTGTAATCACAATCCTCACCGGAGGATTTGAAAATTGTCCTAAATGAGGAGGAAAACAATTATAGTAATTGAACTGGTGATGTACTTCCGAAGTTTGGCTTGTGACTAACAGGCAAGGGAAGTACATGGAGAATTGCACTGACTTCCACAGGCCTAAGAAAACGTATAAAAGTGCTCACAACCTCACATTCCTCACACTGCTCCTCTTGGTTTACTCTCCTCGGTGAACTTGGTAAGTTCAGATCCCATTCTCATAGAGATTCCTTTAACTTGGGA